GAATTCAAAAAGAAACCTCTCGCTAAGTTTAAAGTCGCTGAAGAGTCGTGGCAGTGTGACATCTGCATGGTGAGAAACGACAGTGATAAGACTGAGTGTGCAGCTTGTGGTGGTCTGAAACTAGGAGCAGAGCCAAGGCAAGACCAAAAGAAAGATATGAAGACATCGTTTCCATTTGGAGCTTCTACACCGTCTTCTGGTTCAGCGTTTTCATTTGGATCGTCTACACTATCTACTGGTCCGGGATTTTCATTCAATCAAACTCGATGTTCCGGTTCAGGATTTTCATTTGCTTCAGCGGAAGCAAGTCAAGGTGATGCAAAGCCGAGTTTCGTCTTTGGTTCGTTTAGCCAAACATCAAATTCAAGCTCGGACGTTACAATCCGCTTTGGTTCTTTCACGCAAAAGGGGAATTTGAGTGAAAACACTGTGGAAAACCATCATGTTGCTTCTCCGTTAGACAAGCTAACGCCTCGTGAGGATGACAGTGGAGGTGACGAGGTAGAAGGTAAGGCTGCCACTGATGAAACACAGGCTGAGGATGCCAGGAGACAGGAAACGGTATTATCAACGGACCCAATCAAAGTTGATAGGGAGGAGAAACCTGTATCAGATGGTCTCCCTCTCAGCAGTGGAGAAGACCAATTTCAGCGTCGACAAGACATTTCAAAGGAGACGGCCGCCGAATCGGATGAAGGAGGCAATGGCAATCCAAACGAAACACCAGACGAAACCCATTCTGAAGAAAAGTCTTCGCCGAACAGTGAGAAGCAAACAGTACAGGATAGACCCAGCGATTATGGAACAGAGGACGCTGCATCGAAAGCGGAGAATACCAGTGAATTGAACGAGCCAGGAGGCCTTAGATAAGATGAAGTGAAACAAACAGTAGATATTAATCAGGCGAAAGATGAAGGAAAAACACAGAGAACGGAAGTGCATCTGCTACACCACCTTCTGGTTCAGTGTCTTCATTTGGATCGGCTCCATTTTTTACTGGTCCTGAATGTTCATCCAATCAGACTCCATCGTCTGTACAATGTCAAGAAATGTTGAAGACCCAGACACCAGTGAGGACAGTTCAAGACAACGAAGGGCATGACGAACTTTCGGACGACCCTTTCGCGAAGTGTAAAGCTGCTGAAGGGTCGTGGCAGTGTGACATCTGCATGGTGAGAAATGACAGTGACAACATTGCGTGTGCAGCTTGTGGTGGTCTGAAACCAGGGGCAGACCAAGTTGAGACCGAAAGAATGATGTAAAAGCCTTTCTGCTCAGATCCGCTACACCATCGTCTGGTTCAGAATCTTCATTTGGTTTTTACTACACTACTTCCAACTGGTTCGACGTTTTCATTACACCAGACTCCATCACCTGGTGCAGGATTTTCATCCGGTTCAGCCTAAACAAACCAAGGTGATGCAAAGCCAGATGTGTTTTCCTTTGGATGGTTGAGCGAAATTCACAACTCCAACACGTAAGTTCTAGACAGTGAACATACCGTGGAAAAAAAAAATTTTTTTTCGGATCGGCCAGGCCATCTACAAGTTCAGTGTATTTTACTTGGATCTGTTACACACTCTTCTGGTTTAGGGCTTTCGTTCGGTCGGCCAAGCCATTTACTCTTCGGACTTTCCATTTGGATCGGCCTTTTTATCTACAAGTTCAGGGCTTTTCGTTGGATCGACCACGGCATCTGATAGTTCAGGGCTTTCGTCCACACCATCTACTTGTTCAGGTTTTCCATTTGGATGGGCCACGCCATATACTAGTTCTGGGCCTTCATTTGGATAGGCCACGCCATCTACTAGTCCTGCATGATGGCATGAACAAAGCCATGGCATGTTTCCACAGCTGCCCATTGTTCAAATTTGCGTTAAGCCTACGTCTTCTCTTAGTTGACGTTTCACGTTGAGAGGTACCGTAAACACCGGCAGTTAAGCCGCACCTTTTCGATAAAAATCTGGGATGAGGCTTATTTGCGAGAACATCTGGACAACGAAACTGTAACCGATGTGTTAGTATAGAAGAAGCCATTCTCGTCCTCAGAGGCCGCGCTCCTTTAAGTCAGCACCAAAAATCGCGACCTCTGAGAAAGTCCAATTTTCTGGGCATGCGCAGAGTAATCGTTTCGTATTCTCAGCCAATCAGATATATCAGACGTAACTCTGAGCATGTGGAGTGACGGGAAGTCCGTGAATCGTGGATTTCCGGTGTTAGACTAAGCCAGAGGTCGCGATTCTTGGTGCTGACCAAAAGGTTCGCGGCCTCTATGGGGACGAGACTGAGAATTAGCAGGCAACCGGGGAAGTCGCCGGTAGACCCGAACAAAAGGCGAAGAGATTGGGTATAACTTTAAAACACGAAGTAAAAATTTGGTTAACTTCTAGAGAAATGGCTTAGAACTCCAGTAGTGATTAACCTTCAGAGCGGAAAAGTAATAAGTATGTGCAAGTTTTGGCTGTGCGGCAATCTCCAAGTTTGAAAAAAATGGCGGGAATTTTGTCAATCGTCTAAACAAAAAAATCTATGAAATTTGTGCTTTCCCAGTTTTCCCGGTAAGCAGCAACATATTAACGTCATTAATGGAAAGCTGATGTATTGTTTGCATGGGGAATCAATTTTCTTCGGACAAAATCAACCTAAAGACGGCTTCTGAACCCTTCATTTTCCCGCGGTGTACAAGAAATTTTGGTGCGAAGAGACATTTTCCCCTCACTCTTTACATATTGCGTCCATATAAGCAACCCACTGAATATATAAGCAAGAGAACCTCTCAGCAGGTAGGGGGAGACTTGCTTTCTTAACAGTGAAATGCCGAAAAAAAAATCATTTTTGTCAAGTACAACCAGAAGCCATAATCGATTATCGCTCCTGGTACAAATAAATCAACCGAACGACATCCTCATCGCGAACTTTATTAGCAGTTCACCGTTCTTTCCATCATTGTAACCTGCATTATTACCTGAGCCCCCAAGTAGGGCTATAGGGATGCACAGAACTGAAGCTGCGCAGTGCGTTTCTCCGCTCTGAAATTATCAGCATAACTGAAGGAAGGATGAAGGATAANTTATGCAATAATAATTTTTATTACATACATGCATGCCTATGTGCCCACGAGCAATACTGCTAGCTATGATAACCATGAGAAAATTAATTTGTGGGTTTCGTTTTCTTTCGTATATGAATATGGGGCTCTGCTTGGCAGCCCCAAGGGCTGCTGGAGCTCCGCCATAACTCAGTTATGATTAAAACCAACACTTATACACCAGGGCCAGGTTGTTCAAAGCTCGATTAAGCTTACCTACGATTAGCAGGAATTTTGATTTTAGTTTTGTAACTTTGCGGTAATATTTTGTTCCTTTTTTTTTTGACTTTATGGATTTCGTTTTCTTTTGTATATGAATATGGGGCTCTGCTTGGCAGCCCCAAGGGCCGCTGAAGCTCCGCCATAACTCAGTTACATGTATGATTAAAACCAACACTTATACACCAGGGTCAGGTTGTTCAAAGCCTGATTAAGCTTACCTACGATTAGCAGGAATTTTGATTTTAGTTTTGTAACTTTGCGGTAAAATTTTCTGTTTCTTTCTTTTTGACTTTGAATAATCTCAAACTACACAAACATTCTAAGCAGTGAAAATCATATTAATACAAGAAAAATTTAGACTTTGGTTCACTTTTAATCCTGAGTTAGCGTCAACCGGCTTTTGCACAACCTGGCCCAGTAGTGTGACCAGTCATATGGAAACTTACTGGTAAAGCATAAATTAAAAGGTCATTACATCAGAAGAAGAAATTTAATCTTAATATATATCTGTTAAAACTTTTCCAGTGCATGTCGGAGCAGATTTGACAGAGATCCAGGCTAAGCATGGCTTTAGATTTGTGGATCCATATGTAAAGAAGACTATTCTCAACTTGAATGGAAGTGTGTGGCATGTCAATCCAGAAACGATCAGCGCTTTCACAGTTGCTGGGGATTCGCTAGTTACTCACCGAGTAAGTTTAAGTTATCAGGTCTCTTGACCCGTCAAGCTGCAGTGGATCAATCTTTGAATTTATACTGAGAACTCTGATTGACCAAAGCAAAGATTGCGACTGTTTGGGTTCCAACAATAGACAATTTTTTTGGAATGAAAACTATCACCAGTCCCTGGATGTGCCAAAAAATGCCTGGAACTTCAATTGTTTGCAAAATCGAAGATTGCAGAAGGTTTTCTGGGCTGTTTTAAAGGCTAATCATCTCAATGTGGTGTGTAGATGTGGGTTTTTTTTTTCAGATAAAGGGTTAACTAATGGTTTGTTTTGTTAAAACTGTGCTATTTTTTTTTTTTTTATGAATTTTCGGTATGTGATTTTCCATGAATAGTGCAATTGGGAGGGATTTGAGGTTGATTGTGCAAAATCGCACCATCACAGCTGTCTAAGGAAGCTAGATATTACTGAAACACACTCAGTGTTAGTAGTGTTTACAGTGATCTCCAGTTTCTTTGCAGTGGTTCCTCTGATGCAATATCCTACTTCCTCAGTAATCTTGAAAACTAGAAATTTCGTGTTCACTTCACTTTTCAGGTTGTAAGCAATGAAGATCAGAATTTGACGGTGACCTCTGAGAAAACCATTTCAGTGGAGGGACATGAGGGCTTGCACTTTGATGGAAAAATGTTTTACTTTGATGCTGATGAAGGTGTGGACATTTCGTCAAGCTTGGTAAGTAAATGTTGTTATTAAGTCTTAATATTCGTATGTCATCTTAATACCTGGTCACAATTCCAAGAACAGTGCGAAGGAAAATTCTGAAAGAAAGTCCTGGGCTTATATTTGTTTATTCAAAGATTCTTTTGGCAGGTTTATTGATTTTCAGATGGGCTTGTTAGTAGAGGTTCAGGTTATATGATCAGAATTTATATCTCTCCTTAAGAGCTGAATGGGCCTACTATTGGGGCTTAGTATTGGAAAGAATTTTGCACCTCAGATTTGGGGGGCGGCTTGAAGACTCCTTTAAAGTACTCGGTGTTGACATTTAAAAATGTTTAAAATGTTTAAAATCTCCATTATTTAGCCAAGGAAACCACTAAGCCCACAGGCTTATACTATAATTTCAGAAGGATTTCTGAGTCCAAGATTTGGAAGGCTTGGTTTTAGGAGGTTGTATTTTAAACTAGGGGATATGTTATTCTTGGAATTTACAGTATCATTAACCTGAATTTAAATTTAAATTTATGGTAATCGACACTAATATGTAATTACATTTCTAACAAATTATCTTCTTATTTATTTTTGCATTCTTTTACTTCTAATCATGATTTTTTGTCCCCACAGAACAAAGAAATCGTTTTTGATGCAGCAAAGGGAGTTTATTTTGACGGTGATGCCCTTGCCACACCCACTGGAGCCCCAGTCGCCTCCTCTAATCGGTTCAAGTTGTGTGCCTGTTTGAACACTGGAAAGCTTTTCCGTGTAGCTGTCAACTCAAGTTTCTCAACCTGTACAACTGTTGAGACTTTTTGTTAATCAAGTACCAGTGAGATGAGATTAGTTTTAATAGAACATGGCTAAAGTTTAGGCTTAATAAGAGTAACTCAATTTGCCACTTTACAAATGAGACGAAATCTGGGGTAAGCCTTATCTTGCAATCCCTTGTGGTACCTTTACTAGGGACAATATGGCTTCTCATCTTTTGTTTTGTTCCCATCAACACAAGCGACTAGGAGATTAGACTAGCCCCACAGATTTCTTCTTGTTTCTAAAGTGGTAAATTGGCAGACAGACTAGTGTAGTCTAGCAATGGTGAGGTATTACATTCACAGAACACAAAAGACCTGGAAAAACATACTCCTTGGTCGGTTAGGTTCAAAATTCACAGTTAAATTCCCGTTACTGTGCTTGCTACACAAGCTAGATTGTCCAGAAGTAAGGTTCAAAGAAACTTTTTATACTAAGTTAAACATTTCAAGCACGATACACTTGTTAAAAGGTTTTCTTTATTTTATGATGTTGCTTTTTTGGGGTCATATGCTAATAGGACATAATTGGATGGAGGGCTAGTCCTTTGCTAGCCCAATGATCCCGTCAAAAGTTAACAGAGTCTATCGAAAGGAACGGTCAAATGAATTGGTTATAAGTTTAACTCTGTATTTATCATTTGTTTAACTTGCACCTCTGAATTTTATATTAGTTGCCATCTCTTTTCTAAGCACAGTGTGTTTTATACTTTTATAGCAAAGTTGTACAGTTTTCTTACAAGTTTTAAGTTATTTGCACCATTTTTACGTGATGGATTTTGAAAAGGTTCTGGTAAAAATGTAATTTGGGAACAGAAGAGTTGTCTTGCAACATGCAGTGTTGTTTTAGTTTGCTGGGAGGGGTTAAGGGAAGCCTCTAAACCTATCCTAGGTTATTTCTCTCGTTTTTAACTATTTCGAGAATATATATTTTTGTGGATAACTGGCTTACTAAGCCGAATGTTCTCTTTTAGATGTTATGCTGTAGGGAATGCAGAGAACGGCCTTGCAGGCTGCGTCTTTTGAACACCCTTGTAATAGTGTAATCATAACTCGACTCAGTGGTTTAAACATGGTTGCCACAGGTCAAGAAATGGTCTGGGAAAAAAAATTCTTCAAAGTCAGGGAAAAGTCAGGGAATTTAATTTTGTGTCAGGAAAAATTGACATTTTGAAGAAAAGTCAGGGAAAATTGAAATAATTTAACACGGCTGATTTAATACCATTGAAGGCTGGAAGAAACATTTGGGGTAAGTGTGATCTCAACGATATTTTTCCTTAATGAAGAAGGAAAATTTTTAAAACTTAGGATTAATGGACGAATAGAAAGGACGGCTGTAAGTTCACGCTAGAAGCTGCTACTAGATCTGACATTTTGTATTACTTTTTGGTCAAGGAAATGCTATTTTTGTCAGGGAAAAGTCAGGGAATTTTGAAAAGTGATGTCTGTGGCAACCATGTCAAAGATTTTGACCAATGATCGCCTTAGCCGCTGTCAATCAAGTCTTACGTGAGTGACGAGCCAGTCCTCGATTATGAGTTAAGGATTGGCAGGAGTTCACTCATGCCATATCAAATAACTCCATAGATATTGCTAAGATATGACTTTTGGTTAGTTTTGTAATTCAATAACGGCGGTATTTTTCAGCTACAAACCCTTGAACATAGATTGGAAGATTGAAATTCTTCGAGGTTAGTATGTAGCATAGCCAGTTATGGTCTGAAGAGTTAACTCTGTTTCTACAATAAAGCGAGGGAAATTTAATGTAGCTATGTGCGTCATCTTTTCTTGTCATTGCTTTTTTATTCAAAAGCGAACGAGACAGCAAGGTGAATTCAGCCTGAATTACGTTCAACAAGAGAGGATGTTTCGATATAGGTCCTATTCTCGAGGTGATATCTCTCAAGAGTCTTAGTGCGAAATCCGTAGGACGGAGGACTATTGGGGTTAGAATATTGGGAGAGGAAATTTAAATAAGAGAAAACGAAATCGAAAACGTGGCCTTCAGATGTCAACATCTTCGTCATCTGGACACAATATGACGACATACTAAAAGACAATAACAGATATTTGTTAGGAGTAGCTAGCTGAGGGCGTTTCAGACTGCGAGGATTGACTACGAGTTGTCCCTCTTTCGCTTGGTCCGTCGTGCGTGGCGCGAAAGAAAACTGCGAGAAAAAAATGGCCGCGCGAACTCCAGGGGGCGAGAAACACGCGTCCCCGCCAGGATTTCAAGCGGTCATTTTTTCCTCGCGCTTTATGGTCTTCATTTACGGTCTCGCTCGACGGACTAAGCGAAGGAGGGACCACTCGTAGTCCGACGGCGTTTATGAACTCCCTTACAGGGTAAGGCAAGTGGCCCTTTGAAAATACTAAGAAATTGCCTCGTTCCCACTCCCCGCAGATTTCTTTAGTACCTGTACCTATTGTGTTTTGGTCCCATGCATATTCTAGGGGGTAGGGGAAAGTTTTTAGTTTAGTTTTTTTTTTATCGCAGCATCCAAACAAGCCTTGTTTTCTTAACAGTGAAATGCCGAAAAAAAAAAATTAATGCTTGCCCAAGCATAAACAAGTCAACCGAACGACATCCTCGCGTACCTTATAACAGCCCACCGTTCTTTTCACCATTGCAGGCCCATTGCAGCCTGCATTACCTGAGCCCGCAAGTAGGGCTAGGGATGCGCAGAAAGCTGCGCATTATTCACGCTCTGAAGTGCCCTGTCTGTAAAAGATAGTCAAGAGAAGACATCACTTGACGAGAAGTACGGGAAAATACACTGCCTGACGATATTCAAAGTGGATACGACGAAACTGACAATTGAATGAAATTTTTATGGCTTTTATATTATTTGTACTTTAATAAAAACGCAAACTTAAGAATATATCCAATTTTGGATTACAATGATTTTCTTCCAAAGAAGAACAAACTATTTAGCAATATAGAAACAAGCTCCTCCTTTCTTATATATTATAATAACAACATCTGATTATATACTTGTAAAAGTCTTTTTCAAAAGATAATACTGACAAACTTACAGCAACAATTTGTACCTATAACTATAGAATACGATAAAATTCGCCTATAAATAGCTAATAAAAGATAACGATTCTTTGCTTTATTTTACAAGAAGACACTCAAAATGGCGGTACGTTCATGATCAGTTCTATTTGAGTGACTCCAGTCCTAACGAAAAAATTCAAAGTCGGTCGGGCTCTTTTTAGAAAATTGAACATGAATAATAACGTGACAACATTCAGAAAACTGTATGTTGATTTCTGATTGGACAGAAGGAATCCTTCTCATCTACGAAGATTTTTTCGTTTGTTGCTTGAACTTGATAAGTCGTACCCTGGTATTTTCGCGGTGCACTGTGATTTCAGAGTTTTAAAGTCCGACTTTTTTCCCACTTTGAAAAACAGTACACTGTTTCCATTCTCCTAGTCAATCAAATATAAATAGTGTACCCTCTTCCCCATTTATCGTAGGCTTAAAATGTAAAATTTACAAATATATATATATGGTCGCAGGAGACGAATAATTTATAACTTGCTATAAACTGGCAATAATATCATTATGGTATATTCATTCCACTCGGAGGCCTGCTCGCTGGATCGATACTCGTTTGCCAGCAAAAACTAAAAAGAATAGCGCGACTAATAACATCACTCTTTTAAAATCAAGAGTTGTCTCGTGGTAAGCAATAAACTAAATAATGGGGGTTGCTATACTGCACCCAATGACATACTTCGACAGCCGAGAAGAAGCCGCCATGACAAATTATACCACTAGCTATTAACATAACCCTTTCAGTTGTTAAAGAAACTTCTTACTTTTAGCAGAGAATAACGCTTTAATAAGGAATTTCTTAGAAATCGATTTTGTAACAAAAAGTAACGATAAAAAGTCACGACGTTTCGACCCCTCCGACCTTTTATCTTAAGTTTTATTACGAAATAGCGCCTCAGTTCAAGAATTATAGCAGTTCATAGCACTTTGGTTGGGCGCAGAATAAACAAAACAAAACCAAATGATAAATATTATCGTTTATATACAGCAAATCCATTCACTGCATTGTTGTTCCCATTAAGCCTCTTTGACGTTTGGCTTCGCTGCGAGGACGCTACTACGCATGCGTCAGGTTGAGCCTTTTCACCCAGTAAATTCAACAAGGCATCTCCTACACCGGCCGGGAGCCTGGACACCCAGATCCAAAGTAAGTTCGCGTCCCAGCCAACCACGTACCTGGATTTCGGAAATCGTGACGTCAGAGCGTGAACGATGGAATCCACGACTTTGTAGAGGTGGGGGGAGGCGCATGTGTCTACCATTCCAGTCAGCATGTTTTTCACGCCTGAAAAAGAAAAAAACCGCAAAATGGTCGGCGATACAACTAGAGAGACATCTGCTCAAAGCCTGAGATACTTCACACAAGTCTTTAGTACTGCACAAACGCAATTTGTTTGCACACCAGAACGGCCATGCACTTTTTCCCTTATTACAAGGTATCTTCCTCAAGAGAAGATCTTGATGTTCTCTTACCTTCCCACATCGGCCACGTATCACTAGCCAGCTGGTATTCATTGTAAAGTGGTTTAAAAAATTTAAAGTGGAATTCATTAACGCCAAAATTAATGACGTAGCCTCTTTAAGTCAAACGAGATGGAGGCTAACTCGATAACCTCGCGGTTCTGTTAGCCTCCATGTACAAACTGTATACCATTGTCACCTTTTTGATTGTTATATTTCCTTTTTTTCTTCTTTTTTATGCTAATATTGTTATTTCAAAATGTAAGTGCAAAATAAAGTAAAGTTGAAGTTAAGTTAAGTTGACTTTGAATTTCTTTCCCTTTCTCTAAAATAGAAGCTTAGACTTTTGACTCATCTTTGGACATGAGATAAAAATATTTGCATGGGGGGAGAGTTTTAAAATAACAAAATAAATCTTTCCATAACGTTTTAAATTATTTGACTCGATTAATTTCGTCGCTGTGTGAAATACTAGCTCTTGTAATTTCCTCCGTATACTTTCAACTTTTCATTACTATTTGTACAAGTTTTCACCAAAAGTCCCTCGCACATTCAATTCTTTTTATGCATTTAACCATATAAAATATCTCTGACTCACTGAGGAATCATTACTTACTAGTCTGGTAAAAGTTCTCCCCATACTCCTGTCTCAAACTGTGGTTGAGAGTGGTCCAGAGCACCTGCCACTGCTCCCTGAGAATGTCGGGATTTGTGACATTTGTCTGGAAGAAGCCTGGCTCTACAACGCTGACCTTTACGCCAGTCGGACCCATTTCACGGCGGAGAGCGTCAGAGAATGCCTCCACTCCAAACTTGGAGATGGAGTAAGCCGATGCATGAGGCAAACACGCTCTACCTACCAAGGATAAGCGAAAGTAATATGTGACTTCATACGTTTTCATTGATGGGAATGTCAACTGCAGATACATATATATGTCAAAACATAGGCCATTCCAGTTACAGCGACAAAACTAAAACCAATTTTTGATACATTAACTTTGAATTAAGTCTGTGAATGAGACTCGTGAAGCAGTACTTTCTTGTGGCACTGTTTGTTTCATTGCGCAAATTGGTCTACGTGGAGTCGCGTTGGCTTAATGGTTGGCTCGTTCAGTTGACTTCAGATCGGAGTTGCGTCGGATTTCATTGCGTTGGGTTCTTAGGCGAGACAAAGTACCTCTCCAGGCCCCAGTTGTTCAAAGCCTGCATATCGCTATCCACCGGATAAATCGCTATACAGTGGATAAGTGTTAACAAAACAAACCACGCTATCCACCTGGATAGTGATTTATTCAGTGGATAGCGTCATCCACCTTTTGGACAATCCGGGAGAGGTGCGTAAATGGATACCGGCGAATTTAATGCTGGGGGGTAATCCTGGAATGAACTAGCACCTCACCCAGTGGGGAGTAGTCGCTTCATGTTGGGGAAACCAGGATAAGCTCCTGTTATATGAACCACTCGGCCGACCCTTTGCAGACTTGACGTAACAAGGCCGATTAAGTGGTCTATGAAGTCTGTGAACGAAACTTTAGTGTGTTAAGGTGTTGTAGCTATGTTCATGTGGATGAAACCCTCGTGTGTGACCATTCAAAGGAAAGCTACTTGTATAGCAGCATTTTCATGTAGTACTGTTAATAAAGCTGTTCAAGATGGTTTCGACTTTAGTCTTTGCATGAAACAGGAGACTAGACCATAGTCTCTTGGGATGATACAGCGTTACAATATTCAAGGAGAGCTACGGTGCGGTACTTTCGTGTGCTACTCTTTACGCTTCACAAGTTTTTAGGTAGCTCTTTCATGTTTGACTGCTTGTACTTCAGTACTTTGAAAACTAAAATCTGACAACCCACTCACCTCCAATGCTAGCAATATTTATAATCCGACCGCGCTCCTTCTTGATCAGCGGTAAGAACACTTTAGTGACATCAATGAGTCCCCACAGATTGACATCTGCTACTTGTTTGTACTCCTCAATTGTCTGCCACTCGATTGGTCCAACTTTGGCAATACCAGCGTTGTTAATGACACCCCAAAGACCTGCAGGATGCAACAAGATTTTAAGCCCATGGTGTTCATATGTTCTCTCTGCCGCGTCTTGTTCTTAGGTAGTTTAAGACAACCTCGACGACAAGGCAACGGCAACGGGAACGCCGCTGAACAAAATATTTAATGAGCAGAACGATGGCTGTGTATGTGCGTGATAATTATTGATAAATTTATTTGCAAAACAACAACGTAAAATGATCAAATTCTGTGTTGTCTGGAGAACGCGAACCACGACGGTTAATTTTTTAAATTTCTAATTCAAATTCATTGCTGTGTTCCAGACTAAGTTCTGTGATAGTTTTGACATTGATAAACAAGGTAAATGACTTAAGAAAACCGTGAGATTCGCACGTAAAATATAGGTTTATTTTTTAATCGACGTTGTCCTCGGCGTCGCCGTCGTGGTTACTTAAACTCCCTATTGCTTAAAATGTGTCCTTCATCTAGCCTCTCTTGTACAAGAAAGCTTGTAAAGCTAGTAACGTCCATGCTCGTAACGCCCGGGTGTTTATTTCCAAAAACGGGAACGCAGAAAGGGCGTTCTGGATGCGAAGGACTTGGGGTGAGCCACACCTTTCTCTTACCTCTTCTTGTCTTAACACCTGCGACCCTTTCTCTTTCTGATTTTCCACAGAAAAACGAAATGTAAGCAGTCTAGGTATTTAAAGAATTGGCAGCCACACCCGGGCGTTGTAAGAAAAGTGTTTACTTCCCCGCTACTTCCCGCTTCCAAGAGGGAAAAAAACTGACGCGCCCTAAAGTTCATCCTTTTACGGTATTCAGTGTTTAGGTGTATTATGTTGGTCAACAAAGTATGTAAATTTCGAACCGTTAATCTGAAACGCTTGAGTAACGGGAAGAATGACACTGTTTATAATAACAAAAGTTTTAAATTCCAATGTCAAACTAACCTAATCAAACCCGGCGACTTCAGAAGCGTAAAAAAACCCTGTTTTTTCAACTCATTGCGAAGTGACAGAACGCTAAGCAGCTAAACCATAGTAGCGATAGCAAAACAAATCTTTGCAGCTAAAAGTCCCATATTTTAGACAGGATATAAGCGGTTTTGAAGTGTTAATTTGCGTTCTTCAAATATATTGAACTGAAAACATACCGCGGAATTTTCTCTCTGCTAAGGATTTTAATCCATGAAAGGTAATCACACCGTGTAAAGACCAACACTTCCCCTTTGGGCTGAAGGTGAATCGACAAAGCACTTCAGTCAATTGCGCGCATTCGTGCCTTAGGGCAGATTAAAAGTGAATACAATGTACTTTAGGTGTTAGCTCCTTCCCTGAATAATCGTTTAAACACCCTTATTCGGGCTTGGTCCAAAATAAACAATTTAAAGAATGCTTTTTTGCATAAGTCTAGACATCAAGTTATCTTTGAAATGACAGAAAAACCAGTATTCATGATCTTATGACATGAGATGGTCTCCTGCTTGTGATAAGCTCTTTTGAAGTGAACAACTCTGGAGACAGCCGGTTGAAAGTAATCAGTACGGTAAATCTAGAATTATCTAACTTCTCCAGAAGAGACCAGAATAAGAGCTTGAGTCCTGATTATTCTCCCAAATACTTGACATAGTGACATTTCCTGTGACTAAACTCCTCCGGTTTTACTCATGCCTACTCTCGTTTTATGTCCTGGAAGCTATTTCCGCCCTTTATATTCATGGCCAAAACAAAACATGCGTAAATATCGTGATTATATCTTTCCGTGCTTTTCTTTCCATCGCAACTGTGCTTGTATTGAAGAGTCTATAATTATACTCAGTATATAATACATTGAGCGGATAACTCACAGATAACTGACTGAGTAGCATTGACGCTAAAATAGCCGGGTTGTTGATCCAGTCAGGTCGATTTTCAAAGGTTACGGCGGGTTGAACTGAAGTTAAACAGTTTTAAGAAAGTCCCACTGTTTCGCGGAATTATGTTCAGACATGCGAATTGCAAAGTCATCACAAACAATCCGAGTAAATAAATACAACTGCTTTGATATATCACTAATCAGTGAAAGTGAAAGAAAATATGTCAACCACACAGCCCGATAACGCCTCCAACTGGAGGTTTGTTATGCAAGTTATCTCATTTCTTCATTATGTGACCTGGGTTTATCAAACGCGCGAGCGATTTCAGAGAAATCCTATTAAAATGGGTGCTTTGTGTTCATTTATCTAGAGATTTGCGCTAAACTAATATTTTTTGTCCGGATTATAGATTCCTTAGCTCGGATCTGTTGATTTAAATATTAGCTTATTGTTCGTTAACTGAATATTTACGTAATTTTTAAATAAACAAACGTGGACTTGAAAAGTCACGCGCGATATATTCTCAGTTATATTTTGAGCTCAGTAACAAAGCATATCTCGATCAATTTCGAAAACTAGAAGTCTGCATGTTATCCTTAATTAAATTAAAATTTTATCAAATAATTTACCTGCGTTTTCAGGTAGATTTTGCACCACAAACTTGAATGCTTCTCTGATCTCTTTGGAGTTTGTAACGTCTAAGTGGATGGCTTTGAGCCGGTTACTACACCTTGCAGTCAACTGGGTTTGTCCTTCGCTTGTTAAACATGTGGCGAATACGTTGAATCCTAAGCTATCGAGTCGCAGTGCTGTTTCTCTGCCGAACCCTGAGTCGCAACCTGTAAGGAGGACGTACTTTTCGGAAAAATTCTCGACGAATTCATCAATGTAGAGCCTTTTGATGATCCACAGTCCAAGAAGTATTACAACGACTAAGGCTAACGCATAAAAGCTGTCTTCTTTTTCCATTCCAGCTTTCAAGTGAATCGACTTTTCTCTAAAAAAAAAAAAAAAAAAAAANCGGCTCGTGCAATTTGGGAACTTGAAAAACATCACGAGTGACCATATGTAACAAAATGCACGAGCGATCATACGATTTTCTATTTATAATATGCTCAACAAAATTATATATAAAAAAAAAAAAAAAAAAAACACGACCCCAAATTAAAGCACATTAGTCAATAACTGTAGCCAATTTTATGCATATTTGCTACATATTCGCGTCACAGGATTAGTATGGGAAGAAACTACTCGCATAGTAAAGGATGGGCGATGCAGAAATCACGGAAACCAGCTCACCTTACCCTTACAACGCAGTTGGTATAATTTTGTCACAATTCAACGCCGAGCAAAGTCGACGAGTTGGTTTGATACAAGAGCGGGAATTCAACACCGGTTAACAAGCCGGACATCACCATGTGTGTGGAGTTAGCTTATTATTAACCAAAAGTAATATAATTGCCGGCAAACTGGTTTATTGTTTTATCTCATCCATGCATGCAGCACACATACAAAAAGAGAAAATCCTTTTGAATGACGTTAACAGTCAGTATTTTTTAAAAATAGCTTCTTTTGTGCAGTTCAAATACCTTGCATTTGTCACATTTTACAAATTTAGTAACAATGTTTTGACCTTTGACTAAGGCATTAGATTGAGCAAATAGGTTTTTTTTGAGAGACCTTCTGTGCTTTAAAAAAAGTCATAAAATTTCTTTTAAGAACATTTAGTATCATTTACAAACTATCATCGCTCATTTAGGAGTTCTTAAATTCCAGTATTGTAACATTTTACGCAATCAGCGAAACAGGAAATCTCTTATTATGATTGGAATACAAAGCAACCACTGTGCGTGAACTAATTGAACAATGACCAACTTTACTGTCGAAACAAGGCCATACTTCGCCACCTAAACAAAATAGCTTGTCTGCAAACAAGACTTGTCAACGATCTTCAGCCAAAGGTATTGTTTAAATAATAAAAAGCCGTTGATAGCTTTCCTGACCATGTTGAAAAGATGGAAGCAAATACTAAATGTTAATGGTAGAATAAAAGATTTGTCATGCTAAAGGAATTTGTGTAGTTGTCTCAAGAGTTGACAAGGTTTACAAAATATCCATGAATTAAAGGTACTTTCGTCATTTTGAAAGACTTCCTCGCCTGCTATTTAGTGGAAAATATTATAGGCTCACAAAGATTACATCTACTTGAAACTGGAACCGTGATTTGAAGTAAATAAGAGAATTATTTTCGACTAATCGAACATAATTTCCTTGTAAGTATAATTGCAAAATATTGCGCAGTTAATAAAAACACAATTAACCATCCATGCCATACGCAGTCAGGAGCCGCTCCTGACGCTCTCAACCTGCGAATTGTTTTAAGACGCCTGAAACAGATGGTAAAATAGAATGCATTTGTACTTCTTCAAAACTTTTCCTGTTGATTTGGTTCTTACCTTTCTAATGCTTCAAATAGTATCTTATCTCCTTTCATTTTATCTCAGCTCCGTGCGCTGCTGTCGACCTTCAGTATAACATATCAAACGATCGGCGAACAAAGGGTTTATAACACTCCGGGTCTAAGAGCTGTCAATATCAAGATTAATAATAACGTGGGACGGTACTAGCGTTTCCTGATCCTCCAGCGTTTACACAATGCATTACGTGTGTATCCGGTGACACAATGTTTTTGACCAAACTAGACCAAACTACACAGAGCTGACTCTCAAACACATCCAAAAAATAAAATGGATCTCCTGCTTGCGGTCAGAGCTTACAAGATATTACAACGGGTTTGATGACTGGGAAATACGTAAATGGGACGTCCCAAAATGAATTACTTTGAATTATGAATTCTTCCGTGATATAGTGATAGTGGTGATGAGTGAGTGATTACTCCTTGCCGAGAGAAAGGTCGAAAAGATCGTTCAAAGCGCACGGTCGTAATTATCACCAACGTGAACAACAACCTGCTGGCCTATAAATAACGAAGCCGTGTATTTAATATCATTGGAATTGGAGATGATTTCTTTGATCGAGAGATGGATTTTTCTTCGATTGTGGAAAGTTTGAGGTCACAGCACATAGCTGTAAGTGTACCGCAATAGCTAAGTCGAGATAATCCCTGAAATGCGTGCGCGAAAGAATTTTGTTGCTTTGAAAATAAAAACGTCCACATCTAAATTTTTACTTAAATTTATAATAACTTCCCATCAACTTATCCCCCAAAAATATCAATATGGAGTGAGTGGTAAGAGAGATGAATGGTTTTGTACTGACACTTGTACAACCAGAACCAAAGTAAACCAGTATATGGCCAATCACGCCACGCTACAACAGTAAACTGAACTAATCAGAAAGTCGTATTAAAACCTCCGGCTGTTCGCAACCTGCGCCAAATAAGTGCCAAGCGCGCGAAACTTCACGCACGTCTTTTAATTTGCACGTGATTGGTCGAACAAAAAGTGTGTGTGATCTGATTGGGTTACCTTAGTTGTCTATAAGAGTACCTGCAAGTGTTCAGGTCAGATAAGTAGAATATTTTCGAGCATTTATGGTTGGCTACGTGAAAGCCTTTCCAGGGTCACCGCACTAATTGACACAACTTCATGGCACGGGACATTTAAGCTCAAACGGAAAGAATGCTGCGCTGAAAATTAAATCAGTGCTTTCTTTCAGCACTATTTGAAGGCTTCATCACTGATCATAGTTGTAAATAATAGGTCTCGACCTCTTTGGGCCAAAGCCAAAACGACCTGGAGAACGGAGGCGTGACTGTTTATCGTACGTGAAGGAAGTTCAAGGAGACCCGGGCTATAGTCATGAAACTCGGTCATTAACGCACACGCTTTTGAAGAAAAAACAAGTGGGAACAAAATAACCGGATTATCATCACAGCCCACGTGCATAGATGCCAGCTTGTATCAGCAGTGCGTTCCTCCTCGCAGGTTAGTTAACTGCTATTATCGGCAATTTTATTGTGTGTAAATTCTTTCCAGTGAGTGGAACTCTCTCAATATGGCTCTGAAAGGATTATCCGTTTCTTTTGACGTTTAAACCTCGTGTTTTGGTATTCTTTACGATATTCCATTTCAATTTTTTATAGTTGCTGGTATTATGGGACTTCTTAGGGTAGTTGTAAATATTTGAAATTGTCACTACCGGCCCCCGGGACTACACTATAGCTGTCGCCGTATTGTTATCAGGCTGCATCGACGGCCTTCCACTGTTTCTCTCGTATACGCATGCTTTAATTGTTACATATTAAATACAGCGCAGCACACGTTCTTAGCACGTTCAAGAAATACCTAGTGACTGGGCAGTTCTCGATGGTTTTTTTTTTCAGGGGCTCATCATTTTCTGGGAAACGACAGAATATTCTCCGCAACTTCAAAAGATGGAATGTTGTATATCCTAAAGGAAAAAATGCTGTAAATACCGTGTTTATTCTGTTACGCGCCCAGTCTCGAATAAGTTCCCACCTCGAATAAGCGCCCACTCTCAAGGGCAAAAATTTAATAAGCACCCAGGGGGCTAGGTTATCGAATAAATACGGTATTTTAAAGGAGGCTTGGAGTGGTCACATCTTCTAAACGACGGATTATTCCTTCAGAGCTCTTGAAACAGAGACGGAATGCGGAACACTTTGGTGACTGCATTCTCTAAAATTCAGCACGTGAAAACTAGTTTGTTTGGTTCTCTTTTGTTTTCCGATTACCGTGAAACGGAAGCGAACACACGAAGTGTCAAGAAAGTAGAAGAGACACGAGAAAGAGAAACGAGAAAGTCAAAACTAGCAAAATTTCGAACCAAAACAAATTCGAAACACAAATTTACACCACTACATTTAACTTGAATTATTTAATGATTGTACCATAAAAAAAGCTATGACCGCGGACTCGCGACCAGTACCGGATTTGGAACTTTTTCAAGCATGACCCGAGACATTGATTTCAACGCGAGTTTTATTATCAAGGTAATGTTTTAGAAGATAAAGAAGGCTTCGCTTGTCCGTGCTATATTAAAGGCTGCTTTTCATTATGCATCAGCAAGAGCGACGTACACAGACGAAGTAACGTGCTGTTAAGTGACAGTTTATTTCAGCGGGCTAAAATTCATTATAGCCCGCCAAATTCTCCATTTTAGCCTGCAAAATGCGCCACAATGCCCGGCTATTAACACACACTAGCACACTATTAACATCACGTTATAACTATAAAGACCGAAAAAAAAAAAAAAAAAAACGTAGTCAACGAGAGTCCAGCTCTTAGTCAAGTTTGACCGTCATATACTCGTACCGACCTCCACTTGCTTAAGGGGCAATACAGCCCTCGAATGGTACGTTTTTTTTAAAATCCGTTCCAGCGTTATTCTCTCAATATATCTCTTTGGGGTCTCATGCATCATAAGTTTGCACTGAAAGTATCCAGTTTTAGTATAAATCTACTAGCGTTCTACCACGAATGGCGTTCGCTGATTGGCTACGCTACTATCTATTCTGTTGTACATAGTGAGTAGCGTAACAGTGTGTGTTTGTGAACAAAATGACGGCCGCTTCTTTGCGTTTTCGAAGTTTCTTTGAAGAGGATTTAGATAAAGTTTTGAACGACTAGTAGATTTATACTAAAACAATTAGATTATTCGCTCTCGATTTCGATCCATGATAATTGACTCGGGCTACGTCCTCGTCAACTATCGCGCGATAGAAATCTCGAGCTCATAATCTAATTGTTTAATAGACGGATTCGGCGAACGTGTTCACGTTTTTGTCGCCACCCAATTCAGACCATGTGACGATTCATTTTGGAGGTTACAACTGTGTAATTTGTCACACGCAACTTATTGCACGGGAGTATGTACCGGCAAACAGAACAATTGTAACCTCTCAAATGAATCATTACATGACCTAAATTGAGTGGCAACAACACAATAGCCGAATCCGTCCATTTCATTAAGAATGTTTACATTAATTTAAGATTTACACGAAGGAGAAGAAGGGAATGAGAACTAGGCGTAAAAAGATTATTTAATGAAGATTAAAAAAATATAATTATTTAAGCTAATAATTAATTACACGAACAACACGACGTAAGGCATTTTATGCGGTAAAGCTCTCCGAATCAGGTTCATCCAATATGCCTCATTGATTCTTTTCTTTCTTTGACTGAAATGCAACCCAATCTGATTCTTCTTCAGGAAAAAGAGGAATGGCAGACGACACGATATCAGCAAACTGAAGCTCTTTGAACTTGGAAATGCGAAAACTAACAAGAAAAAAGAAACAGTATATATGAGAAAAGTTCAAACCAGACAAATTAAATATTGAAAAATAAGCGTACACTGAGAATTGCTTGACATTTAGAAAGGCAAAGCTGTTTTGAACTAGTACGTTTAACTTTTTTTCCATAGGCTAGTAAGGAAAGGTTGCTCTTCCCAGTCTCCTCTCACCACAAGAAACCGAAAAGAACTGGGTCGCAGACGCATTTTGTCAAAAATGAAGTATAAACTTAAACGGACGTTGATAAAGTAGAATGATAGGAAGGTGGGAAATATCTAGCCTGTTCAAAGCGTTCAGTAATCTGTGGAGCAGAGCCCCTAATCTGTTTTTCCTCTGGCCGTTCTTCGCACTGCTCACAAACTAACCAAATGTCTAGAATGAGCGCATGTTGATTGGGCATGCGTCATCTTGGATCCTGAAAACCGTGGAGGCTTGGGAGAAGGGGAAAAAAGTGTCCTTGGGACTGTTAGCGGGGTTGAAAAACGACTGGCAGGGGACAGAGAGGGCAAGTACAAAAACGCTTTTTTTTAAATTTCCCTCTGTCCAGCCCCCTCCCCGCGAGTGCCCTCTTTCTTTCGTCCCAGCCCTCTACGTGTTGCGACTACAGTACTAGATGGCCGCAACACGTGGGCTCACCCAACGGGGAAAAAACCGGCAATGAAGGCTACCTGGAATAGGGTAAGAAATAGTTACCTTTTTTCTTCATTTATTGTCCGTGAAGGACCTAGAGCCACGGCCACTTGATGCTATACACAGGATTCAAAAGAAGAAAGTGGAACAAACAGCATTACTAGATCAGTAACTTACCTATATGTAACAACTGAGATAAGTGACAACTTAACCAGAAATATTAATAATTACCCAATCATCTAGTTTGGTCTCTTCAAAACGCCACTCATCCATTTCATTTTCATCAAGGAAAAATTGGGTATCACACGTCAAGGCCTAGTATACAAAAAATACACGGTTTATTGAGACATCAGTTTCTGTACAGTAACCTACTAACAGCCACCTCTCTACAACGGTCACTCTTTTGCCCCAGACGGTCCACTCTTATCTGAACCATTCACTCTTATTTTAACCTCTCTAAACGGCCACCTCTTCACAACAGCAACGCTCACTAAAGCGCGTCCCAACTGACAAAATAATCACTCGACAACTCGACAACTGCCAGTTTATTGACGACTGACAAACGATGTATTGAAAGCTCCATTTTTCATTGCATAAGGTCACGAAACATGATCCGTACCGCGCATCGTTGGTCTCTGTTTCTGAGTACTACTTATTGTAATCTTCATATTCTACAACAATAAGCACTTTTCAACAGATAAAAATGTTGCAACCCCGCAATAGCCTGCAGTGCAGGCGTCTTATTGGGGCGAGTTAGCGTTACAACCTTGCGACCGCCTTTTTAGACCGCCATATTAGACCACCATGTTAGACGGTGGGGGATGGGGGAGGCGAAAAATGAGATTTTCTTCGCGCCACCCCCTCCTCTATCCTTCCTCTTGCCTATCATT